AGATATATTAATGTTTGCTTTATACACTTGGGAGTTCTGGTGTTGTGTGCATAGATATTTATAATTGTTATATCCTCTTACTTAACATGATCATCTTTGTCTCTTTTTACAGTTTTAGATTTGTAGTCTATTTTATATAAGTATAGCTACTCCTGCTATTTTTGGTTTCCAGTTGCATGGAATATCATTTTTCACCACTTCGCTTTCAGTCTATGTGTGACTTTATAAGTGAAGAGAGTTTCTTGAAGGCAGCATATAGTTTGGTCTTGTTTTTTTTAATTCCTTCAGCCACTCTAAGCCTTTTATTTGGAAAATTGAGACCATTTACATTCAGTGTTACTATTAAGTAAAGACTTACTACTGCCATTTTGTTGCCCATTTTCTGATTGTTTTAAGACTCCTTTCTTTCCTACTGTATTCTTTTGTGGTTATTTTCTCTGGTAATATGTTTTAATTTGGTGTTTTTTATTTTTAGTGAATATATTGTAGGTTTTTGGGCTGTGGTTACCAGGAGGGTTACAAAAAACATTGTATAGATTTAAAAAGTTATTTTAAAGAGATAATATTTTAGATTACAAAAAAAGGAATAGAAACAAAGACAAACACACATACACACAAAATGCTACATTTTGACTAAGTTGTCTGGATTTACATATTTTAATATTACATCTCTTAACAGGTTGCTATCGCTATTGTTTTTGATTGGGCTTCATACTAGAGTTATGAGTGCTTACACACTACAATTATTGTAACAGAGTATTCTCAGTATTCTAGAGAATTCTTAAAATTAAGTGTTCATGTACTTAATTTTACCAGTGAATAACTAAAGAAAAGTTTTCTTTTCGTATGTTATTTTTTTTTTCCCCTTTCAGATTGTAGTACCCCTTTTAGCATTTACTGTAAGATGATGGGTCTGATGGGGGTGAATTCTCTGAACTTTAGTTGTTTGGGAAAGACTATTTCTCCTTCATATTCAAAAGGTAATTTTGCTAGATACAGTGTTCTTGGATGACTTTTTTTTCTTTGAGCACTTTGAATATGTTGTTCCACTCCCTCCTGTCTGTATGGTTTTTCATTGAAAAGTCTGTTACCATAGAATTGGAGGTCCTTTATATGTTATTTGCTTCTTTTCTCTTGCTGCTTTTGAGATTCTCTCTTTGTCCTTGACCTTTGAGGGTTTGGTTATTATATACCTTGGGGTAGTCTTATTTGGGTTGAATCTCTTGGGTATTATCAGACCTTCCCGTACTGGAGATTTACATCTTTCTCAAGCTTTGGAAAATTTTGTATTATTTCTTTCTACCCCCTGCCTTTGCTCAGCTCCCTTTTGAATATCAAGAATACTTAGATTTGGTTTTTGAGGTAATTTTCTGTATCTTGTAGGCAGTCTTTGTTCTTTCACTTCCTTTTTTCTTTTTTCTCCTCTGACTGTATTTTCAAATAGCTGGTCTTTGATATCACTGATTCTTCCCTCTGGTTGTTCCATTCAGATGTTGAGAGCCTCTAATGAGTTGTTCAGCTCAGCAAATGTATTTCTCAGTTCCAAAATTTGTTTGAGTTTTTAAAGTTAACTTTAAAAATTTAAAAAATTCTCTTTGTTAAATTTCTCCAACAAATTTCTGAATTGCTTTTCTGTATTATTTTAGAGATCACTGAATTTCCTTAAAACTGCTCTTTTGTATTTTTGGTCAGAGAGCTCACAAATGACTTTCTCGTTAGGGTCAGTCACTGGATTTTTGCTTTGTCTTTTTGCAAAGGTCACATTTCCCTGTTCAGTGTTGTTTCTTGTGGATATATGTCTATGTCTTTGCACTGAAGGATTGGTTATTTATTCCAGCTTCCTCTGTTCAGCTTGTCTTGGTTTTTATTGGATATATTTTCTTAGCAAATCTTCACTAATATTGCCTTTTTCTTGGCTATAGGTGGTATCTTAAGCCCAGGTTTGCCTTGCCTCTAGCGAATAGTCAGGGCACTGTCTTCTCCAAATGGGAGAGTCTGAAAAACATTATCCCAACAGTCACAGAAGTCTGGCTAGAGGTTCGTGCCCAAGGGACCTGTGGCACAAATTCGCTGCTGTGAATCGGCTCCTTTGCCTGGAAAGGCTGGGAAAGGTAGCCCCTTCTCCCCTCTTTGTCTATCCTTTCAGGCAGTCATGATGCTTTCCATGGGTTAAAGAAAGAACAGTCTCCTGCCAGGGAATCCAAGATGGAGGGAAAGCTAGTTGACTATTCCACTCTCACTTTTTCCAGCATAGATACCATTAGTTGGGGGAAGATTTTCCATGTGGTTGTTGTCAGGCAGAATGGGCAGGGTGGGGCATCATGGATGTGGAAGTTGGATTCTCCTACCACCTGCTTGAAGTTTTTTCACTTCTCTGTGTCCCTAGGATCTGTCTCATCCTCATATTTGAGATGTGAGTTGTTGCTAGTGAAAATCTTGGCACTGTATATTCATTTTTGGTTTCCTGTATGAGCAGTGAAGCCAGCTTGCTTCTGTGCCACCATTTTAAACCATAAGTATGATTACTGCTTTTTACTGTAAACTTTAACAAACTATTTGACTCTCTACACTATATGCATATGCAACTTTATTTATTTTATTTTTATTACTTATGATTATTATTATTTTTTGAGATGGAGTTTCACTCTTATTGCCCAGGCTGGAGGGCAATGGTGTGAGCTCGGCTCACTGCAACCTCCACCTCCCAGGTTCAAGTGATTCACCTGCCTCAGCCTCCCAAATAGCTGGGATTACAGGTACCCGCCACTACGCTCAGCTAATTTTGTATTTTTGGTAGAGACAGGGTTTCACCATGTTGGCCAGGCTGGTTTTCAACGCCTGACCTCAGGTGATCCACCCGCCTTGGTCTTCCAAAGTGCTGGAATTACAGGCATGAGCTACTGTGCCTGGCATAACTTTATTTTTTAAAATAAAAATAAAAGCTACATTTACATTTGCTTGTATGTTCCCATGATATCTAGAGGGATGCTTAACAGTTTCATGTATTAACAAATAATATGTGAACATTGTAGAAAAATTAGTAAATATCAATAAACCAACAACCATAAAAGAAAACCAGCAACTATTTTATGTTTTAAAGATATGTGTTTTGAAATTATAATTTAGTAATTATTTATAATTCTTATAAGACATAGCATATTTACAAATCCAAAAATATACTATGTTTCTTTTGATTTAGACAATAAGACCAAAGTATCTACAAATCTGGCAGTAATTGATATAATTCAAAGAAAATAAATAAAATTGAAAATCTAAATTTATAAAGTGATGTCCGGTGACACAGGACACCTGAGGAAATACAGGATATGGCATTTGGGAAATTCAAGCATATTTTCTCTCAGTCAATAGTTGATTCTAGCCAATAGTAGCTTCTAGTTTGCCACATTTATAATAGCTATGTTTGTGTAACCCATTCGTTTTTACAAGCCATCTCTTTAAATATACTCACATAAACTTACATACATTAGTTTATCCCCACAAAATTATTTAAAAATAGAATAAATAATAGAAATAAATTAGAGAAGAAAACTTAAAATCATAAAAATTTTCTTTTTCTCCAGACAGGGTCTCACTCTGTTACCCAAGCTGGAGTGCAGTGGCATGATCATGACTTACTACAGCCTTGAATGCCTGGGTTCAAGCAATCTTCCCACCTCAGCCTTACAAGTAGCTAGGACTACAGGAGTGCCACCACATCTGGCTAATTTTTAAAAATCTTTTTGTGGAGATAAGGTCTTGCTATGTTGCCCAGGCTGGTCTCAAACTCCTGGCCTCAAGTGATGTTCCACTTTTTAAGAGTAGACTTGGACTCAAAATTCAAGTCTTCTGACTCCAAATTCAGGCTCTTTCTATTACATCATGCTCTCAAGTTTTAGTCCTTAATACAACTAATCTCTGTATCTCTTCCAACTATAAGAGGAATTTCTCTCTATATATATATCATCACACAGCTATTTGCCATTGCTGAAATTTTTATACATAATTTATATGTCTACATAAAAATAACAGTAAAAAAATCAAATTATTTTTCATGTTGAAGCTATAGCATTTCTTAAATGACAGTAATAATTACATAATAGAACCTTAAGTTCTATAATTTAAAAAAAGAATAGGCTGTTATACATACAAGAAAGGCAATCCTCAGCAAGTTTTTACATGGTTGAAAGAATTCAACACCCTCTAATAAGATGAGACATTTGGAATCAAGTTTGAATAAAATATACTTTTATTTTATTTTATTTTATTTTATTTTTTTGAGATGCAGTCTCACAATTTTGGCTCACTGTAACCTCCACCCCCTGGGTTCAAGTGATTCTCCTGCCTGAGCCTCCTGAGTAGTGGGATTACAGGTGCTGCCACCATGCCTGGCTAATTTTTGTATTTTGAGTAGAGACAGGGTTCCACCATTTTGGCCAAGCTGGTCTCAAACTCTTGACCTCAGGTGATCTACCCACCTTGGCCTCCCGAAGTGCTGGGATTACAGGCATAGTAAGCCACTGTGCCAGGCCTACTTTTAATTATTTTTGACAGTATGTTTGTAAAACTGAGTATATTTCCTAACTTAATGCTGGAACTATTCCATCTCCACTTTGAACCTTGTTTTCGCATAAATTGGATGAGATTAAAATATTTATTATGTTTTAAAAACTAAAATATAATAATCACTTCATAATATAGTAATTTAATATTACACTGGATTGCTATATCATGGGATCTGTAAAAGATGCCAATATCATTATAGCAGTATGTTGAAGGCATACTATGATCAAATCGCTGCAGGTTGTTTTGAGGCCCAGACAACTTAAACTCCAAAAATAACCCAACTTACAAAGAGGATTAATATGAATGAGGAAGGTACTGCCCTAATATGGTAAAACTTAGAGTTATGCAGGTGGATCTTTAATAAAAAATTTTTCATTCAAACCAAACAAAAAAACTCACTTAAATGAATATGTGTATATCAGTAAGAAATGTTTCACAACAATATAAAATAAATGTTTTACCTTGGTTCTGTTTTTGAAGTGCTGAATATTTTTCTAAACAACTGACAGGGGTAAAGACTTCATTGTAGTCCATGTGGGTGTATAAACTGACCTCCTCTACTTCAATTTGGGAGTCTGGATTTGAACTTGGAACAACTTCCTCAAATTCACAATTAATCTGGGTCACCATTCTTGTAATTGTTTTTCTGTGACAGTATAAAATTACTAATGTTATGTATGTCCTGTTTTAAAACACTTTTATTAGTAAATAATATATGTCCACTATGGAAAAAATTATCGAATTCCAACAGACACAGAGAAGAAACATCTATATTCCCATCATTCAAGATGAATATAAAAATTGTGTAAATTTCTCAATTAAAAAAATCTTTAAACAATAGTGGACTAATGACAATAGTATTCTATAACCTGTTCTTTTCTGTAAAAAAATGAAGCATGAACACATTTACATGTCAATCTATATACATTCACCTAATATTTGAATGGATAAATAGGGTATCAGCAAATCATAATTTATTCAAGCAATTCTCTATTGTTGGAAATTTAAGTTCATTATAATTGTTTGCTATTATGAGCAACAATGCAAAGAACATCTATATGCACTAATAATCTCAAATATATTTCTTAAAAACAGAAATGATGAAGTTAAAAGTATACAGATTTTTAGGTTTTACCACACATGGCCAAACTACCCTTGTGCTGGATATTCAGTGTCTGTTCCTCAATAAAATTACCCAGCCTTTTATGTTCTGTTCCGTAATCTGGGAAGCTAACCTCTATGAACTAACCAAGCTTCCTTGTCCTCTGGCTTCTGGTTGGGTTCAGCCATGGAAAGCACTGGCAGAAGATCAAAGGTGAGAGAGACAGGCTGCAATATCATTCCTCCCAAATCCTTCTCTGTTGGGCCACAGTTTGGAATTGGCTGCACTCTTCCACCAAAAGTTACATCTTCTGTCAGACAGCCCTGCTCCTGTAGTCCCTACTAGGTTGGTAACTGCCCAGGCACCTTGTTCCTTCAATCTTAGGGTGGTAACAACTTTGTAACTGCCCAGTGGGTTCACCTTGCCCGCTGCCTAGACAAAGCCAATTTATCAAGACAGAGGAATTGCAATGGATAGAGACGCAGAGCCGGCTGTGTGGGAGATCAGTGTTTTATTATTACTCAAACCAGTCTCCCTGAGCATTTGTGGATCAGAGTTTTTCAAGATAATTTGGCAGGTAAGGGCTTGGGAAGTGGAGAGTGCTGACTGGTCAGGTTGGAGATGGAAATACAGGGGGTGAGTGAGGTTTTCTTGGGGTCTTCTGCTCCTGTGTGGGATCGCAGAACTGGTTGAGCCAGATTACCAGCTAGGTGGTATCAGCTGAACTGTAGAGTGCAGGGTCTGCAAAATATCTCAAGCCCTGATCTTGGGTTTTACAATAGTGATGTTATCCTGAGGAGCAATTTGGAGACAGTCAGACTCTTGCAGCCAGAGGCCGCATGACCCCTAAACCAAAATTTCTAATCTCATAGTGAATTTGTTAGTCCTACAAAGGCAGCCTGGCCCCCCAGGCAAAAAGTGGGTCTTTTCAGGAAAGGGCTATTATCAATTTTGTTTCAGAGTCAAATCATACACTAAATTCCTTCCCAAGGTTAGTTCAGCCTACACCCAGGAATGAACAAGGACAGCTTAAAGGTTACAGGCAGGATGGAATCAGTTAGGTCTGATCTCTTTCACTGTCATAATTTCCTCAGTTACAGTTTTTGCGAAGGCAGTTTCAACTTCCTACTGTTGCTAGTCCTGAGGACATCTTTTTGGCTCTTTTAACCTTGCGCTTACCTGTTTCCTGATTGATACAGGTTTATCTGTATCATACCATTAGAATGGCTGGCATTACAAGAGATCTTCCAATAGATAAATATATTATTGGCAACTTAGTTATACATCCTAATATACGTTTTTCCTGATATCCTGGAATATTTCAGCCCTAATAATTCTCTTGTACAGACTGAAAGAACCAAAATCAATGTAACTCTCCAATTGGAGAAAAGACCAATTGTGTCATATCTTAAAATCACAGGCGGAGAAAGCTTTAGAATTTATCCTGTACTCTAAGAAAATACAAGGTAGAAGAAAAAATATTTTAACTCTTCCATGTCCGTATTATTCATTAAGATCATTGGTTCCTATGTGGATCATTATATACTTAACTTAGTGCTTACATAGGTGCTGTCTTTTTAAAATAAATGTTACTGACAGGGTCAGCACTGTATAACAATAATTCGTACTACAGTTTTGAGACGACCTAGTAAATTTTCTTTCCGTAGATATAAGATCTATGAAGATCAGTGTTTCCCAGCTCTCCTCATCTACCTCCCTGTCCAATATATTTATTCCCTTTTCACTGGTGCCTCCTCCTTTGCATAACCTGTAGACACTGGTCTTTCCCAGGTTTCTACTCTAGATTATCTTTGCTTTCCTTCTATATCATTCTTTTTGAGTAAGTTCATCTACTCCTATTTATTTATTTGCAAACTTAACAAAACTATTTATTGAGTGTCTGCAATGTGCTAACACCATTCTAGATACTGGGAATGGGGTGTTAAACCAAACAAAGTTCTTTCCTTCATGGAGCTTATCTGCTAACAGGAAGATAGACAAATAAGTATATGACATAATTTCAGGTGGTAAAAAAATGTTATGAATGGGCTGGGCACAGTGGCTCACACCTGTAATCCCAGCACTTTGAGAGGCTGAGGTGGGTGCATCACCTGAGGTCAGGAGTTCGAGACCATCCTGATCAACATGGTGAAACTCCGTCTCAACTAAAAATACAAAAAAACTAGCTGGGTGTGGTAGTGGGTGCCTGTAATCTCAGCTCCTCGGGAGGCTGAGGCGGGAGAATCACTTAAATCACTGGGAGGTGGAGGTTGTAGTGAACTGAGATCACGCCACTGCACTCCAGTCTAGGTGACAGAGAGAAACTCTGTCTCAAAAAAAAAAAAAAAAAAAAAGAGAGAGAGAGAGATAAAGCACAGATACGTGTGACAACATGGATAAACCCTGAAAACACTATATTAAGTAAAAGAAACCAATCACAATAAAAGCACATATTGTATGATTCCACTTATGTGAAATATCTAGAATAGGCAAATCAATAGACAGAAAGTAGATTCTGATTCAGTTAGTCCATTTTGGAGCCTGAGATTCTGCATTTCCAATCTATTTCTAGGTGGTATTGACACTGCCAGTCCAAAGGCCTACTTTGAGTAACAAGATGCGAGATGATCTCTAAGATCTTTTTTTACCTTATGAAACAATAATTTAGTTTTCACCAAACTAGCCTAATTATTGCCTTTGCTAAATACTTATTGCATATTCCCGTGTGTATGCCTGGAGACATGCTGTTTCCTCTGCCCAAAATGCTTTCTCTCAAGTTAATTTCTCCTTGATTGCCCAGCCCAAGCTCAATTCCTACTTCTGTGAAGCTGACCTCTCCTAGTTACAAATGCACAGCTCTACTAATGTAACTCATAAGGTGAAAAGAGATCTTAGAGATCGTCTCGCATCTTGTTACTCAAGGTAGGTCTTTGGACTGGCAGCATCAATACCACGTAGAAATAGATTAGAAATGCAGAATCTCAGGCTCCAAAACAGACTAACTGAACCAGAACCTGCATTTTAATAAGATCCTCAGGGGATTCATATGTACAGTAAAGTTTGAGAAGAACTGATCCATCATCATCATACTGATAAAATGAGGGTCACAGGTAATATGACCAGCAAAGTAGTTAGCACTTGACTTTTCCAGTCAAGGCTTAAAAGCTACATATTTCAATTCATAGTGCAGAGCTTTTTTCACTATACCTTTCCGTTTCCTCGCTGCTAGGAGTTTACTCATATGATACATACTTCTAATTGACTATATGCCTTGTAACAGATTTTATGTTGGTCATCCTATATTATCATTTAATTCTTACACTGTTAATTTTTTCTATGTTTATCTATTATTTTCCTAACCTGATTTTAAATTCCTAGATGACAGAGATGGTATATTGGACTTCACTATATCCAAAGTCTAGACACCTTTCAATTTTTTTTGTTTCTTTTAAGCACAACTAAGGAAAATTTAAATTATAGAAACTTGAAAATGTGAATAATAACAAAATCTTTCCTAGGTCAGATCAGCATTCTGTGCATGAAGTGAAGCAAAAGAGTAAATTATTAAATTGCACCAAAATCTCTACTTTATGTCTACCTTTACAATGTAGAACAGGTTAGATGTTCTTCCTCATATTATGCCCTAGGTTCCTATCTCTGTCATTGTACTTTGCACATTGTATTGTAATTATTTCTTTATAAAACTCTATTCCTTGTTTTCTTGTGTTCTTTGAAGGTTAAGACTATGTCTTATTCATTTTTGTATCTTGTATCTAATATATAGGATGATAATGAATATTTGATGAATGCTTAAATAATAAATAATGTTTTGACCAAATATATTACAAAATAGCCTTAAATCTGAATTTATAATATAGGAGAAAAAAAGACTAATTTTAATATAACAGACTTTCTATAGCTACTTTCTACAGAAAGTTTACCAATTGATAAACTAATTGAAAGTTTACTAATTAAAAAAGAAGACATAAGTCACCCTTATTAACCACTCCTTTGTGGTTCAAATTAGGACCTTTTCTTCAGATAAAAGAAGAAAATCCATGAAGAAATAAAGGAAGAGATTTTCCCTATTTAGGTATCTGGAGAACTTAGTGTTTATCTTCTTCTAGATGTAAAAGAGAAATTTGAGATTAAGGATACATACTTCTCAAGGAAATCCTCCACAAAGAAACTTGCTTTCCATTGGTCCAAGACTGAGGTATCTGTCATTCCCGGAACTGAAACAGCTGAGACTAAAAAGAATAATGGTAAACATTAATCTCTAGAATTTTCTTTTATACTTAATTCAAGAAAGTCAAACATTCACCTTTTACATTATGATTTTATCTTTATTTGTTCACAAATGTATTTTTTGCCAAAGTGATACCTGATTCCAAATATTTAAATAGTCATCCTCATTATCATCAACCTACCCCTGCCCCTCAATCAACTACAGTTAGAACAATATCACATGAACATGTCACCTTCATTTTATAGACTCTCTTTTGCTTATACAGCACTACTATTCCAAATAGTCCTTTTCAACTGCTCATGCTTTACCTCATGAAGCTTCTATTAACCCTTCCAGCTCAAGCTGATACATTCTCCTTGAAGGGCCATAATATTGTCAGTAACACTTGGGGACCCAACCGTATACAGTCCTATATTTAAAATTGTAGGTGGCACGCAGTGGCTCACGCCTGTAATCCCAGCTCTTTGGGAGGCTGAGGCAGGCGGATCACTTGAGGCCAGGAGTTCGAGACCAGCCTGGCCAACATGGCAAAACCCCATCTCTACTAAAATTACAAAAATTAGCCGGCGTGGTAGTGCATGCCTCTAGTCCCAACTACTTGGAAGGCTGAGGCAGGAGAATACCTTGAACCTGAGAAACAGAGGTTGCAGTGAGCAGAGATCATGCCACTGCACTCCAGCCTGGGCACCTGGGTGACAGAGTGAGACTCTGTAAATAAATAAATAAATTAATAAATTAATTAATTAATTAATTAATTAATTTGTATGTGTATATAGCTTATCTCCCAAACTAGACCCTTGGTTCCTTAAGGAGAAAGACCATGTCATATACTACTGTCAGAATATGCAACTGAGTGTTCTCCCTACCACCAGTGTTACTTCTTACTAGTTTTGTTATCTTTAACAAATCATTTAACATCTAAGCCTGTGCCTCGTTGAAAAATATGAAAAAAAAATACAAAAGTTTAGTGGTACTTTGGGAGGCCGAGGCGGGTGGATCACGAGGTCAGGAGATTGAGACCATCCTGGCTAACACGGTGAAACCCCGTCTCTACTAAAAATACAAAAAATTTAGCTGGGTGTGGTGGTGGGCGCCTGTAGTCCCAGCTCCTGGAGAGGCTGAGGCAGGAGAATGGCGTGAACCTGGAAAGCAGATGTAGTGAGCCGAGATCACACCACTGCACTCCAGCCTGGGAGACAGAGTGAGACTCCATATCAAAATAAAAAAAGAAAAAAGTTTAGTGGTTAAGAGTACAGGTTCTGGAAACACTCTGCCTAGATTTTAATCCTTGGACTGCTATTTATTAACTATATGATATTGGGTAAATATCTGAATCTTTTTGCACCTCCGTTTTTTGTTTTGTTTTGTTTTGTTTTACTGTACAAACTAGGAAGAATAGCCTTTTCAGAGTGTTGTTGTAAAGATTAAATGTAATGTGGCGTAATGTGGCATGCAAATTGCTTAGAATAGTTAGGTTCCATAGCCAGTCCCATAACCATTGCTCTCAAAGACTCTTGATTCTCTTGCCTCTCTTTCTCTTCTACCAACTTAGGACAACCCCTACTCTACACTTTCCGTGTATGTACACTAAAACAGTTGAAAATTACTGGGAAAAAAATCACCCAGCCATGCTAAAGGAACTCATTCCAAATTATGACTGTAAATTTCAAATAGCCACCCAACATTGACAGATGATAATAGTATACCCCTTAATAAAACTGGCTTTCTTGACCACAGATGAGGTTTAAAAAAAAAAAAAAGAAAGAAAGAAACAAACAAAAACAAAACTGGCTTTCTTGCTCTTTAAGACAGCTAATTCACACATTACCCCTTCAAATCTTTAGTGTTCATTCCATTATCCACTTTCAGTGTATGACCTTACCTTCACATAGAAAACTGATACAGAGAACTACCTCATTTTCCACGACCAATTCTACCAACTTACTGGCATAAGTACCTACAAACCCTATCTTCCTATCTACACAGGGGAAGAATTATTTTAGTTCCTACTGAATACTAACTTCTCTAACTGTGCTCTTGATCTTATCCCCTTTTACTCCTGTTATCCTTTTTCTTTCCTGCATTGTCTTATTCTCTTTTTACCAAAATTGTTTCCATTGGCAAACATTTTACAGTCTGTCTCATCATGTATTGTTTAAAAACCACACATCAAAAACAAAAAAGAATAACTCTTTACTCCACTTCTCCCATAAGTTAGTCCATCATTTAAAAATTTTTCTTTATAGCAAAATTCCCCCAAATATTCAAATTCACTCTCTCACTTTCCCACTTTCCATTATCTTCTCAACATACTCCAATCATATTCCAATATATTCCTATCACACTCCAAATATATTCCAATCATATTAATAACCAATATTCCAGGGAAACCACTCTTGTCAAAGTCATCAATGACCTACATTTAGTCAAGCTAATGGTCAACTCACTATCGTCAGATAACTTGAACTTTTAACACGAGCCCAATGCATTGGACTACTACTGCCTTCTTGAAGTACTTTCTTCTTTAGAATTCGACGCCAGAATCATTTGATTATCCTGTCTTGCTTCTTAGGTAACTCCTTTTACATCAGACTTTTAACTGTTGGAGTGTTCCAGGGCTCTGTCCTAGGCCTTCTAATCTATTTATACTCATGCTCTCAGTGACTTCATCTAGTTTCACAGGTTTATGTGTAATTTGCATATTGAAAACTCCGATTTGAAACTCCAGCTTGTGAAGCAGGTTCACTGTGTACTGATTACCAACTTGTCTGAGTATGGTGAGACAGAATACCCATACACAGGAAGTTACATGAAGCAGATGTATTACTTACAGATAGGTAACAAGGGACAACAGAAGGCTAGGATTCATTGTGAACTGGTCCTGTAAGTCTCAGGAAAGCTGCCCAGGGCAAATGAAGTCTTCATGTGCCACAATTGCACAGCAGCGGAAGAACCCCAGAAAGCAGTCCACCTGGGTTTGATGTTCTGAGGTCAAAGGACGTGCTGGGCTAAAGAACTGAAGGACAGAGCATAGGGTGTTCTGGCCAGCTCCTCCTTTATCTCTGAATGTTGCATTCCCAGCACATTTTATAGTTATTCTTAAGAACTTCAAGTGAGAAAAGGAGGCCAAGGCCACCCAGAGAACTGTCCTGAGCAGCTGCGCTCAAGATTAATATAACCAATTGCCTTCTTAATGATTTCATTTAGATGCCTAATAATCTGGCCAAAGCAGAGTTATTGACTCTGGCCACAAATTGGCTTCTCTATAAGCCTTTCCCTATTTTAGGAAATGGCACTGTCATCTACCTGGTTTCTCAGGTCAAAAAGCTAGAAGAAAATCTTCATTATTCTATTTTGTAATACCCTCACTGTTGACAATTTGTAAAATAAGCTAGATTTTAAGCACATCTCACATCTCCATTACTATAAGCCTTGTCCAAGACACTATAATATTTTATCCAGAGTTTAGATTCTGGGCTACTAAAATAGCTCCCTGATAGATTTCCCTGTCTCTACTCTTGACTCCTAATCTGCACCCTTTCTATCCTCCAGACAATCATAACTATCTTTCTACAGCATAAATCAGGTTATATCATTCCCTTTCTTAAAATTGTCCAGTGACTTTCCATATCCACAATTGTCTTAGTCAGTCTACACTGCTATAACAAAAATATCATAGACTGGGTGGCTCAAACAACAAACATTCATTTCTCACAGCTTTGGAGGCTGGGAAGCCCAAGATTAAGGCACCAGAAGATTCAGTGTCTAGTGAGGGCCCACTTCCTGGTTCATGGGTGGCTGTCTTCTTACTGGCCTCACATGGCAGAAAAGTCAAGGGAGCTCTTTGGGGTCTCTTTTATTAGGGTACTAATCCCTTTCATGAGGACTCCATCCTAATCATCTCCCAAAGGCCCCACCTTCAAATATAAATTTAGGGGGACACAGTCAGTCTATTGCAGCTGTAATAAAAAATAAATAAATAAACAAACTCCCTGTTATGGCCTACAAAGCCTTATTCAGAAATTGCCTACTTCTCAATCCATTTTTCATTACCCAGTCACAATAGCTTAATTTTCTGGTCTTTACACACATCAAGTTCATTCTTGAGTCAGGAACTTTGCATTTGCTTGAAAGGCTTTTCCCCCATATTTTTCATGGTTGTTGCTTTCTCACCATTCAGGTCTCAACTCAAATGTCCTCCTCTTCAGAGAGACATTTCCCTAACCATCTTAGGAAACAGCACTCCCTACTCCCGCAATTTCATATCACTTAGCATTACTGTCTCTTCTCTATATATTTATCAATATCAGATACTAGTTTACATATTTAATGGTTTTATTGCTGTATCCTCCTTACCAGTCTAAAACCCACTGAGAGCAGAGACTACTTCTATGTCTTTTAAGTAACTGTGTCCTTAGTACTTATAACAGTGTTTGGTACATAATATATACCAAGTAAATGCTGTTGACTGACTTGACTCCTCCAAGGAGGCTACTTCTTTACTATTCCATGACTTGATACAAACAAAAAACTATTTTGTACATATATGCTTAAAAATAATTTTATATTCAGTGTGCCTTACAACTTGAAGTAGGCCTCAGATAGTCAAGAAAAATTCTATTATAATAAAACAAATGTTTACAATGTTAGACTATTTTAAGTCTTCATCATCTACATATCTTTTATTTGGTTTATTCATATCCAATATAAGCTTTCCAATTCCTTATTTAGTTACCTAGATTCTATAATAAAAATACTACGTTGTTAACTTCTTGGAATTCTGACATGCATAGATGCAATGAAATTAGTAAAGCATTGCATATTCTTAATAATTTGCTGTGCTAAACTCTGAAATGGCTTTTAAAGCACATTTTTAAGAAATGAAAACAAACATACCTCTTGTCCATGGCCTCCTAAATTTATTATCAGTAACTGCTACATGGTAACTTTCATCTTGATATAAACATGAAGGAATTCGAAGCAATAAAGCATCTCTGTAAAACTTCTTTCTAACTACATTCTGTGGAAAAAAAGAAAGATTAGAAAATCTTTTAACATATACTATTTATCTATCAATATTCAGAATATATTAAAATTATACTTTGAAACTTATGTGATATTTCTTTAAAAGTAATACATGCTCCTTATAAAAAACAGGCATACCTAATCCCAGCACTTTGGGAGGCCGAGGCAGGCAGATCACGAGGTCAGGAGATCAAGACCATCCTGGCTAACATGGTGAAACCCCATCTCTACTAAAAATACAAAAAATTAGCTGGACATGGTGGCAGGCGCCTATAGTTCCAGCTACTCAGGAGGCTGAGGCAGGAGAATGGCGTGACCCGGAAGGCGAAGCTTGCAGTGAGCTGAGATTGCACCACTGCACTCCAGCCTGGGCAACGGAGTGAGACTCTATCTCAAAAACAAACAAACAAACAAAAAACAACGACAACAACAACAACAAAACAGGCATACCTCACTTTATTGTGCTTTATTCTATTGTGCTCTGCAGATTTTTTTTTTTTTACAAATTGAAACTTTGTGCCAACCCTATGATGAGCAAATCTGTCTGTGCCATTTTTCCAAAAGCATGTGCTCACTTCCTGTGTCACATTTTGGTAACCATCCCAACATTTGAAACTTTTCCATTATTATTCTATCTGTTATGATAATCTATGATCAGTGGTCTTTGATGTTAGTTACCATTGTAATTGTTTGGGGGTGGCATGAACTGCACCATATAAGATAGCAAATTAATTGGTAAATGTTGTGTGTGTTCTGACAAAACAGCCTTCTGTTAGAAGAAGATGCCAACAAGGACTTTCATAGCCAGAGAGAAGTCAATGTCTGGCTTCAAACCTTCAAAGGACAAGCTGACTCTCTTCCTAGAAGCTAATGCAGTTGGTGATTTTAAGTTGAAGCTAATGCTTATTTACCATTCTGAAAATCCCAGGGCCCTTAAGAATTATACTAAATCTACCCTGTCTATGATCTATAAATGGAACAACAAAGCCTGGATGATGGCACATGCATTTACAACATGGTTTACTGAATATGTATTAAAGGCCCCTTGTAATATCAGTAGTAGTTTGATGTATTCTCCTACAGGTATTTTTTCTAAGTTAAGCTAAAACACATGTGTAAGTACTTGACAAAAAACGGGATCACATTATTTACATATCACTTAGCAATGTGCTTTTTTCCACCAAACAGTATAATGTGGATGTCTTAACTTGTTTTATCTTTGCATTATTTCCTTTGTTACAACCAGCAAATTCATTTCTAATTTTTAAAAACATATCTAATAAAGGGAACTGTTTCTTTAAAGGAATGTTAAATCAGTTAATAAGTTTGTAAATGAGTCAATGTTCTCTTTAATTTGGCTCTGCCTTTACTTTCCAACTTTATCTTCCATTACTCTAACTAGTCTCTCTAAATAGACTAGTCTCTTCACTACCTCCCTTAATGTTCAGTGGTCACTCCCTGGTTAACACCATGGTCTACACTGCACCTCTGAAAATGTCCTGTTATTCTTCTCTATCAAGATCCAACTCATCTTTCAAGGCCTATCTTAAGCAATATCTCTTCTATGAAGCCCTTCCCCAGTGATTCTCATTTCTCACATAATTCATTATTCTATGTATTTGGACAAATGATAATTTCTTGCATTATTTCCCAAGACTTTTTAATGTTTGCTGAAGTGTTATAACATATTCAGTAAGAAGTCCTTATTATCCAAGGATAAGTGGTAAAGAGAAAAAGATTACTTATGGTAATTTATATCAAATAAGGACCAAAGATTCACAGTAAATAGGAAAAAAAAAAAAAAGGCCGATTAGTATTTAATCTAAAAAGTGAAAGTTATAAAAAGTTTCATAACAAAATTTCATTTATAATTAGTTATAATTATTACTTTTTGTCATAATTTTCCCACAAACTGTATTATATGATGATATGCATACTACTCATTGCTTTACCTTTGATCATGAAAAAAATATTTTTAGAAAATGTTTGAAGATTTTCCCAAGGCATCTCTGACTCCTTTGATATTCAAACCATTCTCTTTCTCTTGTCTGTCAACTGATCTAATTTTGCATGATCTTCATGATATCCTTACTTGTTATTTGAGTGGTTCCTCAATACTGTTTTCACGAACTTGACAAAGTCCTGCATCTTTTGCAAGATTTGCCATTGATTAGTATTGTATTTGTATTATATCACAGAGTGTCGTATACCAGCAGAAACCAAAATACCATGGGCAAAAAAAAAAGTTTCAGGATGTTTGAATACAGACTAATTTTGCAAGTGGCCAATACATATGTTTTGTTATGATGACTTTTGATTCCTACCATGGATATCTTTTAACTACACATTTGCTTCTCTCAGTTATGAGGGAATAATAAAACCAGAAGATGCTTGCATGTGTTTCTCATTTCCTGTAAAATGTAGCACAGTTTTGTTATACTGGAGTAATTTTTTTCTTTGGTAGATGGGGTCAGTGTTACAAAGAAAAAAATTTAACTTGT